GCTACCACAAAGATACTGCACTTTTATGCACAACTAAACTACCCAAAATATCCACTCAGCTATTAGACTGCTGCATGTGACAAGTTTACTCTTTGTAACATCAAAACAACACTTAAAGAAAATGGATACATATGAATTGCATGTCATGTCATTGCACATGTCATCAATTTACTTTAGTGTAATCCATTTTTAAATACTGATATTAGGTCTACTCAACCAAGGCACTGTCATTATAGTGTTACATTTTTAACATGTTCAACCCCCCAAATATGTTTAGTCCTAGTCTGATGTTAGGTTGCTTTTACACTGCTAGAATTGAAGCTTCTAGATCACAGATTAAAAAGTCTTACTGGACTTTAAGTGGCAAATCAACATGTAGCTTCTGGCCAACCAACCATATACGATTGTGCTTGACAAGCAGCAGAACTGTGAAGTTGTGATAGATGTGGCAATGCCAGCAGAGGGAAACTTGAGGAAGAAGGAGGATGAGCAAATAAAAGAGTACCAGGGACTGAAGGAACAACTGGAACAAATGTGGATGGTACAGTCCAGAGGGATCCCAGTGGTAATAGGACATTTGGGAGCTGTAACCTCAAAACTGGAAGAGTGAAAGCAGCAGATTCCAGTCACAACATCAGAGGTCTGTGTCCAGAAGAGCACAGTCCTACGAACAGTTATGATACTACTCAGAGCCCTTAAACTCCTAGGCCTCTGGTAGAAGAACACATATAAATCTGTGAAAGTCCACAGGTAAAACTATTAGCCTGAGTATTTTAACATGCATTTATGGAGCTTCATCAAAACACAATTACAAAATTGTATTCAACTATTGCTGTATTTTATCCCCCAATCATTATGTCCTAACAAGCCCACCATTTTTCTCCACTAAGGTTACTTTCTCATGTTATCCCAAAAAGGAAAACGGAATACGGATATGTGGTAATGACCAAAAAAGCCTAGACTATAAAGGCGCAATATAAATACCAGCACATTAGATTACATAATACACACTCACATTTCTTACCCTGCAGAATAGAAAGTTAGAGCACTATGAATATATTAAATGAAAATATTTCGCAAGAAACAGCAACTTGGCATTAAATGATTCCCAACATTGCTTTGTTACTTTAATATGCAATTACAACTAGTAGACCAATATTTTTGTTTCCACCCTTTTCTGGTACCAGTTGTCGAAATAGATTACATCCCGTCAATGCTGTCAATAAATGCATAAAAGAAGTACCTGGAGACAGACCAGTATAATGATCTGTACTAGATGAATGTATAGTTATAAAAGTCCTCATACTGTCATCATGGTGTGAATATGTTTTACACATCATGTTTGTCTTGAGCTATAACAAGACTTTGAGGAACATTAGAAAATTTATTCCACTGTCAAATCAACGTTTCAGCTTCACTCAAAAACTGAGACCATTAAACAGCCACAGACGCTTCTACAATAATAATAATATTATTATTAATAATAATAATAATAATAATAATAATAATAATAAGGGATCAGATTGTTTCTTTGCATGCCTTACTTTCCTCGTGCTCTGCAGCCAGTTGTAATTGTCTCCAACAACCACTAGAGGGGGCCACATGACTTTCTGTGTTGCTTGTTGCACACACAAGTTGTTGTACTTTTACCTATAAATCTATTACATTTAAGCCCTTGTCACGCAAGTTCACACAACATAAGAAGAATAAGCCTTTTAGCATCAGGTAAATGTCTTTGTAGTTTGCATAAGAAGATTTAGAATCCTGAGAATCTGCAATTTTGAAGTACCTCGGGTTGGGAAGCTAACTTCTGGTTAGCCCAAGTGTGTACCTAACTAGCAGATTGGTGGGCCAGATATGAAAAGCTACATCTAATTACAGAATTTCGATTATCCTTACATTACATAAATGGCTCCTACAGTA